CCACATCAGGTAGATTGTTAACCCAAACAGGAATGCCACTAAAAGTAACCACAAAAAGCAATTGAAATTTTAATAAAGTTATCCATGATAAAAACATTGTACCATACATTAAAATAAAAAGATGATTAAATAATGTACCCATAATTCCATTCAGCACAAACATATGGACCAATGCGAAGAACACCATAAAGTCCAGCCTCTTGAATGGTCTTAAGAAATCTGATAAGATCATTATTTCCAGAAAAATCATACACACGACGAGAAGGTTCATGAGCATTCCAGAAAACATATGTTTCAATTGCATCTAATCCTCCTTCTTTGGCTTTTTTGATCAAGTCGGGCCACATCTATGATTAAATTGACAAAAATTAGTCTCAACAATGTAACATGAAAAAAAAAATAAAATGAAATGAGTAATTACCTCAGGGGTGCTTCTAGGATAATGGATTGATCCAGATATGAGAACTCTACGTTTACCATCAATTTTGATGGCCCTTCCATCATGAGTGACTTCAACAGCATTAGTGGAAATGAAGGAAAAGCCAAGAATGAAAAAACAAACAGCCAAAGAGAAGAAGTTCTTTGCAGTAGCCATAGTGGCTTAGAGAAGTAGAAAAGTGGCTCAGTGAAGAAGCTATCCACAGTGCATTTATTTATAGGGAGAGTAGTGCAGTTCAAAATGGTTGGTTTCATCTGTCATCTATATCCATTAACAATAAGATATATATTGTTCTGTTGAGAATCTCTCCATTCTTTAGGAAACAAAAGAATCTTCATCTTATACAGAATTGTATAACAAAAGCTATCCTTTCATTCTGTTATTTTGTGTGTTTCTGCTGAATCAAAACAAACCTATCCTTTAATCTACTTAATTTCAAATTGTACAACAGCTACTTCCAAACAAAAAAATATCATGCCGATTCATAAAACTACATATCACCGTGTACAGTTATACTCTCTTTTTGGACTTCTATATTTTGTAACAATTAATTATATCATATATACTCAAAAAATTATCACGCCAACTCAAAAACTGCATACGACACATATTTTCAACATGTAATCATATATTTCAAACAATTAATTAATTTTCAATGAAAAAATTAACTAATATTTTTGTTTTTTTATAGTATATGATAAATATTTATCTATAATCTATAACAATATATAAAAGATATACAGAATTTTTTTCTATAGTCAATTTTATCCCTTAATATTATAGTTATCTCTTTTTATCATTCTATTTATTTAATTAACTACAAAAATGGCATTAACTTAAACTAAATTTTAGTTTTCACTCACTTTATACCGTATCATTCTAAATAATGAATTAATCACCTATACATTGTTAGTGTAAAAAATTTTTACACTGACAACCAATCAGATTTGTTAATAGTATCATATCATTTGCTCATTTAAATAATTTAAAATAAAAAAGACAGTATTAACAGATCTGATTGGTTGTCAGTGTAAAAAAAACTTTACACTGGTAGATAATTAACTCCTAAACAATTACCATTCTTCTTTTATAATAACAAGTGGTTATTTTTCTGGGTTATCATTCTATCTTTATGCTTTTGGTTATGTATCATTTATCTTCGGTTCTTCTTTTATAATAACAAGTGGCTATTTTTCTGTGTTATCATTCTATCTTTATGCTTTTGGTTATGTATCATTTATCTTCGGTTATAGTTGTTTTAAAATTTGTTTTAATTAAATAAAATAGAGGTATATACAAAGTTCTTAATCCTACTAGTTAATACATAATTATAATTATAAGTCATAATAAATATTTAAATTTATGTTTATATAATAATTAAATTTTCTAATAAATGAATGTTTTAAATTTATAATTATATAATAATTAAAATCTGTAATAAATAATATATATATATATATTATATTTTTATTTATAATAAATAATTAAAAGTGTAATATAATATTTTAAAAAAAATTGAAATGGATAAAGGATTAAGAAAACAACATACAATACAAATAAATATAAAAGCAAAGTAATTTCAAATGATTAAAGAAATTTGAATATATAGTTACGTTAGTATGTGTAAAAGTAAAATGCATTTTATAAGAAAAGAGAATATTAAGAATATAAAAAATATATAAATAAAAAAAACAAGAAGAGTTCTAATTTATAATCTAAATAAGGAAATAAAAAATAAGAAGGGTTCTAATTTATAATAATTTAAAAAATAAACATATATTTTCATTTATATTTTAAATCCTAAACTCATAAATAACTATAAACATAAGCAAATTCGTTTCCTGAATGACCATAATGTTAAAAATATATTTTGTAAATTAGAGTAAAAAAGAAAAAATATTACCCATCAAAATATGAACTCTGCGCTTAATATAAGTATGGATAATCAATAACTTAAGGATAATTAAGTAATATTATAAGGTGAATATCTACTGTGTATAAATTTTGTTATACCTGACTTGGCATGTGTACTAGCGGGTATAAAAAAACACCGTATCAATTATTTTTGGATATTTATTTAAACTATTCATTTATTTTTTATAGGAAATTTTATCTATAAATATATTTCTTTTTTTTATTATTCTTAAATGATGTGATAACAATAAGGTGGCACACCAAATAATGTAACAGATGACAGTGTGATGATGTAATTTGTGAAAATAAGATTAGAAAAATATTAAAAATGATATGAGTAAATACATCCCTCTTATATATATATAATTATATATATATAATTTATTTAATAATAATAAATATATATATTAAATTTCATTTATCCTTTAAAAATAAAATTTATCCCTTAAAAAGAAAACTTTTATTTATATATTAAAAAATCTTATTAACTTAATAATTAATTGTGATTGTTGAAGATAAGAGTTATTGGTTCTAATCTCAAGCTTGAGAATCCAAACCTGTACTAGTGTGATATATGAGGGGCCCAATATTTACGTATATTTGTTAAGTTACTAACAATAAAAATATGCTAAAATTAAAAATATATTACTAACGTTTTTTGTAAGAGAATAAAAAATTAACATCGTTGATTTCTAAAATCAAATTTGTATCGAAGTAACTAAACATGTCCAAATTCAGCGGGTCCAACACACACAAATAGCCCAATACTTCTGGGCTTGGACTTGTAACATTAGATAAGGTTCATAACTGTTGCACTTAACTGTCTTGTCATGTCATCAGTTATAGCAACGGATTTGCAAACCCATACTTCTCTTAAAAGGAAGTTTCTCTTACTCCGAAACTTACACAATTATTTTGATAAGTAATAAGTATTTTTTATAATTTATTTTCTAAGAATAAAGAATTACATTGGAGTTATATTCAGAAGAAAAATTCTCAGAAACATTTATAAATTTATATCTAAACATGTTCTTATTTTTTCGAAATCTCAATTTTATTTTCTATTTTTTTAATATGGGAATCCAATTAAATATTAAGAAAATTTACAATAACTTAGACACTTTGTTAAATTGAGGTAGACCACTTAATCTCAACTTATTCTAAATAATGTAGTATATTTTAAAAACAAAAATCCCGACATTTGACCAATTGCATCGTTTCCATCAACTTATGTTGGAGTGAGCGTCTCAAAGGATCAAACAATTTTTGGATAGGTTTTTTTTTTTAATTTTTTTATGGTTACTTTTTAAAATTTCCATTTATGGAAATATATTTATTCGATGATTTTGTTATTTATTAAATACTTTTGACATCATTTTACATTATCAAATTTAGTTAAAAAAATATTACTAGTATTTTAATATGCGTAGTACACAAACATATTTAATATATATAATTAAAATTTATAATAAATTATATATAAATAAATACTATCTTTTAATGTATAAATTATATTTAAAATTAGTATACATAAATATTTTTAAATATATAAATTATATTTTAGATTTATGATTAAAAAAATTATACGGTAAGAAAAAATTTATTTTTATGTATTGGTAATTTATTTTAAAATATCAGTATTTGATTCATAAATAATTATGATAAATAAAAATTGAATTAGATAATAAATTAAAAAAATCCTACAAACTCTTTCCTTAAAGAAAGTTCCTAAAAACACTCTCATGAAATATAAAAATTCGTATAAATATTTTTAAATATATAAATTATATTTTAGATTTATGATAAATAATTTGTATTATAATAAAAAAATATTTTATCTATTGATAATTTATTTTTAAATAATAATATTTAATTAAAAAATAATTATAATAAATAAAAACTAAATTAGATAAAGTGTTTAAAAAAATCCCTACAAACCTTATTGAAGAAAAGTTCCTAAAAATACTCTTGTGCAAAGCATATGTTTGTATTTAATATATAAAAGTTAATTAATTAATAATATAATTTTTTTGATTTTTTTATAATTTATACTTAAATATAAAAAATATAAAAATATGTATTATTTTTTTAACTATTATTTTAAATTAATTAAAAAGTGATTTAAATATAATCTCTATCTTATCTCTTAAAAAAAAAAATTTGTAACGATCCATCGTGACCCTTACACTAAACAAAATCATTACAACCAATAACAAAAACTAAAATACTATAACATACAAGATTAAAGGAGGAAACATGTCATACACATATGTAAAACTTAAGTATAAAAGTAAAACATTTGAACTAATATAAACAAGTTATATACATGTATATAATAATTTCAAAATCATTTGTCCTAGTATCGGTTGAGCATGACTATACATGCTATCACAGTAGAATCGATACCAACTAAAAAGGCATTGCCAACCACTCCAAGCAATCACAGCTCCTCCAACCTAGCTGTAACTAGCTCTCATACAACGTATGATTATCGCAATCCAAACCACAATAGAAACAAAAAAGGTAAGTTAGATTTCAAAAACATGTAAGTATAAAAAATAATTTTATATCATATAACGTCATATCATAAACATATATGAAAGTTAAACACTCCGATTCTAACATACATATCATCCAAACCATGTCACACAAGACATCGAACAATGCATATGAACACAACACAACATACATCATATGCAAGTGCCTCAACCAATGCATCTCCACGTATTCACCAACAAAAATCTTCTAACAAATGAGTAGTCTAAATAGTTTGACCTTATTGAATCAACCTGATCATCTCTAGAATAGATAAACCAGTCAACACGATCATCTTTATACTAGATAGACCCATTAACACGATCATCTCTATAATAGATAAACTTATCAACCAAAATGGATTATCAATCCTAACAACATGATTTTTTGGATTTTAGCATTTACACTAGGAAAGTCCAATTTCACTGTTAGGAGCGGTATAACTAGGTATAGACATACCACAACCTTGGCATGCATTACCAAATTACATGTAGAGTTAGCCCATTGACCAACCTCAAAGAATCACGCAGCCTTTCTAAATACTTGGTTAAGGGTTGTAACCATTGACTTCCTACCTTACTCAACAATTAATTAAGGATCTAGAAGAGAGTCAACACCTCAAAACCCACTCCAAGAGACATGCCTACTCATGGAGGGTTTTCCAAACAATGGCCTACCCGAGCACCACTCCAAGATTCCTTATGTAGGATCTTCCTCTCCTCAAGTCCTATG